TCAAGTGTCTATTCTCAACAAGTTCCAGTCTTGATTGAGAAGAGACCAAGTTCCAAGACATGTACATCAGTTTCATTTAGTCACTCAGATGACATCATGGAGAATGATGCTGAGGCTTCATGCAGTTATTTCACGAAAGATGTAGATATTGATGATGTCGATGTAGACGATACATATGTGGATTATGAAGATCTAAAGAGCATTGATGATAAATTGTCGAATGGTTAATTTTCTATTAAATTAAAGTTTTCTTATTATTTAACAACAATATGATTTTAATTTATTACTAAGTTACATGTACCAAATATTTGATACATATTTTAATGGGTTGGTGTGGTATATGTGGTTGTTGGTAATTGTATTTCAGAGTTATGGGATATCGGTGATCCAAATTGTGTGTGCCCAAAATGTGAAGCACTGTTTTGGTATGAAGAGAGAAATGAATCCAATTCTACGAAGGCGAATCCGAAGTATTCTCTTTGTTGCTCTCAAGGCAAAGTGAAGCTTCCAGACTACAAAGAACCACCGTTGTTACTGCAGAGGCTGATAGATGGAAGAGATGCAAGAAGCAAGCATTTTATAGAAAATATCAGATCTTACAATAGCATGTTTGCTTTCACATCTATGGGCGGACGCATTGAGACGTCAATCAATAAAGGCAAGGGTCCTCCAATTTTTAAACTTCATGGTCAGAACTATCACCTTATTGGAAGTTTGATTCCCACTGTTGGGTCGATTCCCAAATTTGCTCAATTATATATCTACGATACTGAGAATGAGCTACAGAACCGGATCAAATCTGTAAGGTAACGTCATTGTGACAGTTGCATTTCTTATTGTGATTCTTTTATGCTGTTGATGAGAAGTATCTATGAAGATTTATTTCATTGTTGCAGGGGAGATGTTAATGCTAACAAATTGCATATTGAGATTGTTGAGGACTTGAGAAACATGTTGAACGATCACAATGTTTTGGTGAAATCTTTTAGAATGGCTAAGGAAACGATTCATCATGGTGAGAGCGTTGACGTGAGATTGAGGTTGATAGGCAAACGAAATAGTGATGCTAGAACATATAACCTCCCAACTGTCTCAGAGGTTGCTGCTTTAGTTGTGGGGGATTTTGATGAGTCAATGGGGGAGAGAGATATATTGGTGGAAACCCAGAGCGGAAAGTTGCAACGTATTAATGAACTTAATCCAGCATATTTTGGGCTGCAATATCCTTTGTTGTTTCCGTTTGGTGAGGATGGTTATCGAGAAGATATTGCGCTTTCAGGTCCTAATGTTGGCACTGGATCAGGTAGACGCAATGTGAGCATTCGACAATTTTTGGCTTATCTCTTGCAAGAGAGGGAATTTAAATATTCAACAATTCTAAAAGCTAAGAGACTTTTCCAGCAATTCGTTGTTGATGGTTATACTTTGATAGAATCTGCAAGATTGAGGTTTGTTAGAACGCATCAAAAACAGCTTCGTTGTGCAATGTATAAAGGTTTAAATGATGCTGTTTTGCGTGGAGAGAATGATCCAACCACTCAAGGAAAGAGAATTGTGTTGCCATCCACATTCACGGGTGGTGCAAGGTTCATGATACAAAACTACCAAGATGCAATGGCAATTTGTAGATGGGCGGGGTATCCAGATTTGTTTATCACACTAACGTGCAACCCTAAATGGCCCGAGATTGATCGTTTTTTAAGTGCTAGAAATCTTAAGTCTGAGGATCGTCCAGATATTGTATGCTGGGTTTTTAAGATAAAGTTGGATGGTCTTATGAAAGACTTGCGACGTAATAGAGTATTTGGTAGTGTTAAAGCAGGTAAATTTCTAAACTTTCAATAAGCATATATTAGTTGTTGTATATTTTTTCATAGTAATTTTAAATTGCATTTTGCAGTGGTTTATACTATTGAGTTTCAGAAACGAGGATTGCCTCATGCACACATACTACTATGGCTAGCATGTGAGGATAAGTTGCCAACACCATCTGACATTGATAGAGTTATTTCAGCGGAGATTCCTGATAAAGATGAGGACCCACAATATTACAATGCAGTACGTGATTTTATGATGCACGGTCCGTGTGGCATGTACGCTAAGACTGCTCCATGTATGGCTGACAGCAAGTGTACCAAGCATTTCCCTAAAGCTTGGTGCGATGTCACGACAGTTGACGGGGATGGGTATCCGGTTTATAGGAGAAGAGATGATGGTCGAACTATTGAGAAGAATAAAGTTCCCCTTGACAATCGTTTTGTTGTTCCGCACAATCGATTTTTGTTGATGAAATATGGTGGTCACATCAATGTCGAGTGGTGCAACCAATCTCGGTCTATTAAGTACTTATTTAAGTACATCAATAAAGGACGTGATCGCGTGACTGCGGGTTTTTTCAACAACGCAACTGCAGATGGACAGAGTCAACCCGTGGATGAGATCAAAATGTATTATGATTGTCGATATATATCTCCGTGTGAGGCTGCATGGCGTATTCTTGGATTTGAGATTCAATATAAAAATCCTCCCGTTGAGCGTCTAAGCTTTCACCTGAAAGGAGAACAAACAGTGATCTTCTCAGACAATGACCCTCTTGATTCTGTGATTAAGGGGAGGAGTGTTAAGGACAACATGTTTTTGGGTTGGATGGAGGCTAACAAAAAGTACGAAATCGCACGACGGATAACATATGCGGAATTCCCTCAGAAATTTGTTTGGAAGAGTGAATCAAGGGAATGGATGCCAAGAAAGAGAGCATTCGCCATTGGCCGAATATACTATGTTCCACCGGGATGTGGAGAGTCATATTATATGAGATGTTTATTAAACTATATTCGGGGAGTTACATGTTATGAGGATTTGAGGACCATAAGTGGTGTGTTGTATAATACGTATCGTGAAGCTTGCTATGCTTTGGGGCTTCTTGATGATGATAAGGAATTTATTGATGGTTTTACTGAGGCAAGTGATTTCGCAACGGCGTTTGCGTTAAGGATACTCTTTGTGATACTATTGTGGTCTGAATCCATGGGTCGACCCGAATATGTTTGGGAGAAATGTTGGACATACATGGCAGAAGATATTCAATACAAACTGCGTAAGATGTATCAACATCCGGGTATGTGGCAAGCTCCTATTTTACTTTACATATATCCACATCAATGTCATTGTATTGTGCAGTTTATCTGTTGAGCATTAATCTGACTGGTTTATCATTTGACGTCCCATGAAATGCAGGGTTTGTAATGGACAATGAGAAATTGCAAATGGCAGCATTAACGGAGGTAGAAATGTTGTTGCAAAGTCGTGGGAAAAGTTTGCGTGATTATCCTCCCATGCCATATCCAAAGTCATGTCCGACTTTATCTTCTGCAAACAGATTAGTTCAAGAAGAGCTCTTATATGATCGTCAGGCGATGTTCGAAGAACATGAAAGATTATTTCAAGGCTTGACAAATGAACAACGTGTTGTATATGACAAGATCATGGATTCTGTTGAAACGGAGTCTGGAGGGATGTACTTTGTTTATGGATATGGTGGAACTGGGAAGACGTTTGTATGGAAGACGCTATCAGCTGCATTGAGATCCAAAGGGGACATAGTATTAAATGTGGCATCAAGTGGCATTGCTTCCTTGCTGCTACCAGGTGGCAGGACTGCCCACTCGCGTTTTGCAATTCCGATAAGTTTGAATGAAGATTCAACTTGCAATATAAAGCAAGGTGGCCCGCTCGCCCTATTGATCACTAAGTGTAAGTTGATAATTTGGGATGAAGCTCCTATGTTGCACAAATACTGCTTTGAGGCATTGGATCGAAGTATGCGTGACGTTCTTAGATTCACCAACCCAAATAGTTTAAATTTACCATTTGGTGGGAAGACAATTGTGTTGGGGGGAGATTTCCGTCAGGTGCTACCCGTAATCCCGCAAGGAACCAGGCAAGAAGTTGTTAATGCTACAATTAATTCATCTTATTTGTGGGGGGAGTGCACCGTTCTTAGGTTAACTAAGAACATGAGGCTGCAAAATGTCCATAACCCTGCAGAATCTTATGACTTGAGACTCTTTGCTGATTGGATTGCAAGCATAGGTGATGGTATTGCTGGTGAGTCAAATGATGGTCATTGCTCTATTAAAATTCCTGATGACATTCTTATCAAGTACTCTGGAGATCCCATTGCTAAGATAGTCGAGATTATTTATCCCGATTATTTAAAATCAAGTACTGATTTGAATTACCTCAGAGATAGAGCTATCTTAGCTCCAACCCTTGAGGTGGTTGATTTGGTCAATGAATATATGATAAATTTAAATTCCAAGGAAGAGGCGCGAACATACCTTAGTTCAGACAACGTTTGCAAATCTGATGCAACTCATGATCTAATAGCAGAGTTACACACTCCAGAATACTTGAACAGTATTAAACTATCCGGAGTGCCAAATCACAACTTAACTTTGAAGATTGGGACTCCTGTCATGCTGCTGCGTAATATTGATCTCTCATTGGGTTTGTGTAACGGGACAAGACTCATCATAACTAAGATGTGTGATCACATCTTGGAGGGTAGGGTTTTAAATGGTACCAGCGCAGGACAAAAAATTTTAATACCGCGTCTATCTTTGACCCCATCTGATGTTAGGTTGCCATTTAGATTTCGAAGGAGACAATTCCCTATTATGGTTTCTTATGCAATGACCATCAATAAAAGTCAAGGTCAGTCTCTCAGCCATGTTGGTCTTCTGTTGAAAAAACCAGTTTTCAGCCATGGACAATTATATGTAGCTGTCTCAAGGGTAACCAATCGCGCAGGTCTGAAAATTTTGATCCTAAATGAAGAAGGTTGCCCAAAGGATGAGACGATAAATGTTGTCTACAAGGAAGTGTTCCATAATTTGTAATGATCAAATTGTATGGTAATTACATTACATATTGCTATAACATGCGTATATTACTAATATCTAATGTTCGTGATTTACTTGATTGCAATTACATTTTATGTTCAACTATATTTACACCTTGCCACAAATTCACGCACCGTGCATCGCACGGGTGCAATACTAGTATATATGAAAAAGTACAAGACGGTATGCTCAAAGTTTCTCTTTAACACTTCAATAGAGTAAATGAAAAAAAATCTTTATTTAAACATTATTCAAACATAACTCACACGAAAAAAATATGAGTAAACTTACTATATATTAGTAATAATATATTATCTTTGGAAGTTGTTTCTGCTACCAAATGGGCAAATGTTCAAGTAATTAACTACTCTTTGTTAAACAGCTCCCGCCCAATGATCATTCTTCTGATCTCACTGGTGCCTGCCCCTATTTCATACAGTTTTGCATCCCGAAGGAAACGCCCGGTTGGATACTCATTCACATACCCATTACCCCCAAGACACTGTATTGCCTGCAAACAAACACGGAATAAGCGTAACACCAAACTAAGCATGACATTCTTATACGTAATATGCTGTATAAAGCACCCACTGGGAATTCCTAATTCTTACCTGAAGAGCAACTTGAGTGGCTCTTTCAGCTGCACATAAAATCACACCTGCACAATCCTGGATATATACCATCCATATAACATTAAAATTAACGAACAAATTTACTGTCTGTTTGGTCGAAGAACGTTTTTCTGATTTTCAGCCTTGTAGGGCCAGATTCCAATCAAGCTATCCATGCCTTGAGCTAGTTCACTATGTTGGTTGAACCAGCTTCATCATTTTCATTTTCATTTACCCCAGTGCCGCAAAGGCTCCCACCTATGGTAGGGTAAGGGGGGGTCGGATGTACGCAGTGTACTGAAGCACAGAGAGACTGTTTCCGGATGACCCATAGTGAAAATCGCGTCCAAAATTGCATGGGCTGACTGCTACTTCATAACAAAGAAGCACAGACAGTTTAGTGAGCCATTTCATAGTCACATGGTTCGCGGTACGGTTCGATACGGGAACGAGGAACGGGAACGCGGTTCGCTAGATCTAGCATATCCAATTCGGAGGGGGTAGGTTCATTTCGGTACGCGTTCGATACGATGTACCATATGTTCGGTACGCTGTACCTAATATTTTGGTACTATAATAAAAATATAAAACTGAATTATAGAATACAAATTACTTTGTCAAACAAAAAAAAGAATATAGATTACAGATTTCAACATTGAACAAAAACAGAGCATCTTCCCTTAATTTATAACAGTTAATTAAAATGTAAAATTGATGAGTAGGAATAATTAGGATCAGAAAACGAAGAGCTGTCTTTAAAAAAACGAAGAGCTGTCTTTCAATAAAAACAACGAAGAGCTGTCTTTCAAAAAAAGAAGAAGAGCTGGTTGGAAATCGGTACGCCTATTAATACTCAAACCCGGGCGTCTCAAACGAGTCAATCGACGTTTTTTTTCTTCAAATTGCGATCGATGGGGAACAATCCACGGAACGACCTGCTTTGAGTTTCCGATCGTGTTTGAAGACGACTGAGGTCGCATCAGATGGCGATTGCGCTCTCTTCCAGGTGCGATTGGGATCGACTGGCACAGCGTACCGTAGAGCGTTCCATGGTGCGACCGGGTCGCTTTCGTACCGCGATTGGGTACACAGCGATCGATACGCAGATCGCGCCTAGTTTAGCGATTTATGTATCTTGCTTTATTCCATCATATTCTCAAGCCAAAAAAATAATGAATCTTTGGCTCCATTGCAAATGATGGAAAAAGTTGGTTGAACCAGCTTATAATACAACAAACAGTGTAGGCACTTTTTTGGCTGAACTGGAAGGAAATGATTTGATCAATCTTCATTTTTCATTTGGCTCTAGTTCTGTTTTTTGTACAAATAAATTAGAACCATATGAACTACGGAGTATTATTTAAAATCATTTCAAACCTTCAAAATTTGATAAAAAGGGACATGTAATAACATAATGAAGGACCACTACTAAGAATTCCAAATTATAATAACAACAGGCCAAATGGTAATAGAACAATGGGTCAAACCTTTGGATCAACCTTCCCATTGTCACAGTCCCTAGCAACAGAATAGACATATGACCTACACAATTATACAATTAAAGAGAGAATTGAAGTTAATTTAAGAGCTGAATCTTTCTTTCTCCAATATACAAAATTATGGAGATGAAATTAGCAATAGTAGGAGGAACTACATTACCTTGAGGACTGTAGGGCAGTATACATGTCAGCAACTTTCCCCTGTATAAATTGATGTTCACCGATAGGCTTGCCGAATTGCTCCCTCTGGCGGACATATGGAAGTGCCACATCAAGACAAGCCTGCATGATCCCAATAGGCCCAGCTGCTAGCACAAGCCTTTCCAAATCTAGGCCCGACATCATAACATAAACTCCTGAAGAAGTACACAAACCATGCTGTTAAACACCAAGTCCTTAAAACTGATTCTTTTCTTGGGATGGACGTACTAGTCTAAAAATAAGAAAAGAGATAATTGAGTAGAAGCAAAAATCAAGATTCCCCTCCGAAATCTCCAACCAAACAAGCCCTAAAGAAGCTTATGTTCCATGTACTCCAATGTGTATGTATATCAAATATGCCCCCTGTGTAAAACTTCCCCAAAGCTATATGTTTCTAAACATGACACTAACTAATCTCACGCACATGTTGAATTGCACTTTGTTATAGCGGTTCACATTTCCATATCAATTGAGGTATGATCTAAGTAAATAAATGCTAATGAACCTTGAATGAATTATCTCTCTGTCCCATAATACAGTCCTGTTTAGTCATGGTAAAACTTTTTTATTTTTGAAAGGTGCAATGGTTGAAAATAACGTAATCACACAGAAACTAGTTCCATATGATGAACTATAGCATTTTCAACAAAAAGATCTTTTAAAAGAAGGCTCCTTTTATGGAACGGAGGGAGTGCTTTTAAACTACAATGAAAATTAGTTGGAAGGGACAATACCTTTCCCTTCCTGCCCCAGCACATTCTCTTCAGGAACGAAGCAATTTTCGAACACAAGTTCACATCTGCAAGGTTCATGCTCCAAATGTTAGTTCATTTTTCAATTTGCACTGAGATTGAATAAAAGCATATCCACACTGGTTGAGGCAAAACACACATACGTATCACTTCCTCTCATCCCAAGCTTGTCTAGTTTCTGGGCAGTACTGAAACTGCAAAAAACAAGAAAAAATGTGTAAAAACCAACCAACCAAACAAAAAAAATAAGAATGTGCTTCACAAGCTCTTAGTGCATGGGTTATTGGTATTAGATATGACCTCATTAGATACATATACATTTACATTAAAATATGTAATGGAACGATAAGTCAAGGCTGTTCCTATTGAAACATAAGAATCACCATATTAGTCCCTCATTTGTTCTTGGTTATGCATTTCCTCTCCCAATTTAAATTTGGTGCGATCCGGTCACTCAATTATCTAAAAAATGTAAATTCACTCTTCACAGCATAATTGTGAAGTCATTCGACTAGATTGTCATTTGCAATTTCATATAAGCATATGCATGTGAATGATTTTGTTTTTATCTTCTCAACTGAAGCAGTGAATCAAATGTAGTCTTTTCTTTTAACCAACAATGGCCCATATAATTCATCGATATTATTCGTTATAAAATATGAAGTGCATACCCTGTCATTCCCTTCTCAATGATAAAAGCAGTGATTCCTTTTGAGCGAGCAGCAATATCCGTTTTAGTGTAAACAACCTATCCATTGTAATTTACCAATGCCGTCAAAATGTAATTTGCAGTACTGAAAGAATTACAAGACGAAGACGACTTTGCTGAAGCACCAGTAATACATTAATACCATGGAGAGCTATCATTAATCTCAGAATAGATACTACATCAATAATGGATTATTCCAATAAATGGCGCTATGCCCAAAGATGCAGCCCAATAGAGATCAAATTACTGCAATAATATCTATCTCTCTTTCAATGTTTGTATGTATGTGTGCCAAATGCTGACAATAGGTTCTGTTGAGCTTCAAATCGTAAATAATGTAAGATAGCTATATTTAAGTATGTTAATAGTGAGGACTGAGGAATAATACCAGTGTTTGTGCCACAGGACCATTGGTACACCACATCTTGTTCCCGTTCAGAACATAACCCCCATCAACACGATCAGCTCTGCATTTCATGCTAACAACATCTGATCCGGCTGAAAAGGGAACCATATTAATTGGAAATTATTTATTTTTCTCAACAAAAAAAACTTGATCTGAGAAACCTTTGTTATCATTTAAAAATAGTACAAATAGAGATAAATAATTGTTGAGTAAATGAAGTTTTAAGGAAAAGTACCATTGGGTTCACTCATAGCAAGAGCGCCAACATGCTCACCTCTGATCAGCTTCACCAAATCAAGATAGTGAAACTCTTAGACCATGAACAAATTTTCACATCTTCACCAAATAGGTAATATCATCATTGACATTGAATGAAAAACTAATTGCAATCATACAAAAATATATATGTTAATTCAATAAATAGAAAACCATAAGAAAAATTTAATCTGAGTATCAATCTAATTTAGCATAAGTACATAGACATTTGATCATGAACTCTTAATTAGTAATGCTCAAAACATGCTTGACATTTATAACAGTCAAATAGACATACTTCCATTAATTCTTTTGGTTTCTTAAATTTTAGATTTAGTTCCTTTCCAAAACAATTCTTAACCAATCGATATCAGAGTCGTGATTTTCATTGTTTATCTATGTGGTTCAAACAGCAAGCCACATATCTCCAAAATTAGTCTGCCTCCACTTCTACAACTCCACAAAACAATCTAGATTTCGTGAATCTAGATTGCAAGTCTCCAATTTCAAAAAATCATTTAATAATTAGAGATATATCATATGCCTGCATAAAAATTACAGGATGAACAGAAGACAAGTAAGAGATTAAGAATCTAGCTTTTGAAACCTTTGGGAGATACTTTTTCTTCTGATCAGGATTTGCATTCCTCACCTACAAAATGTTATATATTAATAGAAGACTGGGGACGTGATACAAATTGTTGATTTAAAATAACAATTTGAGTTAATATTTTATTACCAACTGACTAATGCACACATTAGAATGTACACCATATGAAAGGCCAACCGATCCAGAGGCACGGCTAAGTTCTTCCATAGCTATACAATGGTATAAATAACCAAGGCCGAGTCCTCCATATTCCTCTACATAAAATATAGGTGGTTAAAACACATGAAACTCCACAGTCATTTAATTATCATATTTGTTTAAATAAATTGATGGTTAATCAGATGATTTTAGCTCATTACTGAGAGATTTGAATTAATTAGGTAGAGTGATGGATATTAGTTAGGCAAGGCTCCCATACAAATACCCCATACAGATGCACATATAATGATGATAAATCTACTACCTATCTTAAAACTGTATCTACTACCTAGGAAGCTATGGTTGGATAATATGTACTGCAAAAAAGCAATCTAAAGCAACATATTGTTAATGCAAAATAAATAAATGAAAGTAATGTGAAATTACAGTAGCAAGTCATTAATTAAACACTACCCCTATGCCAAATCTGTCATGCACCTCAATTCGTTCGTTCCTTCATTCCCATACACATGGCAGTAGGGCATTCTAAAAGTTCTTACAACAATTTGAATGAACTATTAATATTTCAGCAATGAAAAGTTGTACCTGGAGCCGTAATTCCATGAAGGTTGAAATCACCCATCAATTTCCATAAATTTACATCCTGAAAATACAAAAAGATACAAGCAATCAAAATGTAATCCCCCTAATCAATTTAAAAATCAGTCACAACTTAAAAAACCTGAGACAAATGTAGCGTAAAGAGTTGTTTGAGAGAACATTGGAAAGAGAGGAGGAGCGAGGGGAATCATTGCTTTTAAATCATTTTATGTTTCTTTCTTTGCATTGTTTAGGTTTTTGTATTCACTGGCAGTCTGGCAGAGCTCGTCACTGGCAGAGCCCCGTCTGCCAGCAGGGTATATCTTCTCCCCCATCTTTGGTCCGGAGGTTTAGATCCGTTAATAAAGGTGTGTACTAATCTAAGTATGCACTTATTTTTTCGTGTTTAAAATCACAGTCAAGTTAGTATGGGCTGGGTGGGGTAGGCTGTAACAATAGGATAAGGATATAATACATGGGGATGATATGCTTAGTAAGCGACACTTTAAGCATTACCCCGACCCTACCTACTCCACCTCGACCCCACCCCACCCCACCCCACCTGGTCTCTTACCACCCCTACCCCCACCCCAAACCCCTAAGCCCTTACTACCTACCCAACCCTACCACATTGGCCCCACCCACCCTATAGGGCCTACCCCAACCCCGTACCACATCTACCCCACCCTATCCTATCCTAACCCCTGCCCTACCCTACCTTACCCCAACCCACCCTACCCCTACCCCTACCCTACCTACCTTACCCCCACTTGAAACCCCTAGGCCCTTACCAGGGTGGGGGTTAGGGGTTAGGGGTATGAGTACACATATTATATTATATATCTATGTTCATGAATGTTTGTGTGTCTATATATGTGTATAAGGTTATTTTGGACATTTTAATGTTAAACGGTGTATTAAACCTTTTGAAGTAAACACGATCTTACAACATTGCTTATTTTATGCGCCGCTTATTAACGCGGGTCTTAATAAGCACTGTTTAATAACCCGTGAAGTAAACATGTCCTGAGGCTGTAGTCCTTAACCACCATCCAATATTGAATGTCCTAAAAGGCGCTAGGCGCTAGTCTGGCGCCAGCCCAGCGCCTAGCACCTAGGCGGCCAGGCGAGCGTCTAGTCGGGGACAAATAAATTGCATTTTTATCTATATTTTTGTATAAATATGATAAATAATATTGTAGCTTTGTGTGTATAAAATACATATATAAATATACATTAACAAACATGAATGATAGAATTGTCACATTTAATTATACGAAGTATATGATAACTAATCACTTAACTTCATTATGTTATAAATATAAATAATGATGAAATTTAGGGATATATAGAAACATATATAGTTTTATCATAATTTACAACTTCATTTCTTTATATCTATGGCTAAAGTTAAAGTATGTATATCGCTTAGAAAAGTAAAATTAAAAAGTTAAGTAATGTTTGGCGAATATAGACGGCCTAGGCGGCTGATAAGGCGCTCTAGGCGGGCAACAAGGCGCCTTAGGCGGCCGACTAATTCACCTTGATGGAAAACCAATTAGTCGGAGCGCCTAGACGTAAATCGGGGTGCCCGACCACCGCCTAGCGCCTAGGCGGGGACTAGTCGGACGCCTAGAACGATTTTTAGAACACAACCACCATCTTGCTTTAGGAAGGAGGAAGAAAATATCTTTTTAAGCGCTTGGTGAAACAAATTATTGTTTGGTAATACAAATTATTATTGTTTTTTGTTTGGGGAGATTTGACATTGCACACCGCCTTTTGGTTAATATTAAATTTTGCATCTAAAATCGTTTGATTTTGCATTCCATTCCGAAATTTTTCTTCACAAAGTGTTATATGATGGGGTACAAAATAAAATAAAAAAATCTTTCAAAATGTGGTGCAAAGATCAATATTACTTAAAAAGTGGGGTGCAAAGTCAAATCTCCCCTTTTTGTTTGGTAAAGTTTCTGGTTATTGGTGAAATCAATTTTCCCTTTCGAGTGATTGGGAAGCCGGATCTTTTATTTATAAATGCATCAATGCAACAAAACTGTTAGATTAGACTATGCTATTGCGGAGTTAATGATCTTAAAAAAATTGTGAGATCTTTTAGATTGAAATGCATAAATGATACCTTAACTATTGATATTATTGCTTTTTGTGCCTAACATATTAATGAATCAAATCTGATAGAGTATATGGGCCCAGACCCCATGGCCCACATACTTAGAAGACTAAAACACGCAGCTGGTAGCCTGGCATAGATGGTCCTCTGTCGGCCAGATGGTCTCATGGTCCTCCGTCGGCCAGATGGTCCCCTGTCGGCCAGATGGTCCCCTGTCGGCCAGATGTGTGACACCGCACCCGTGTGTACCCGAATTTACTATTTGAAAGTTTCGTAATTGATGTTTTGAACTTGTTATTACCAGCTGTGTGTAACACGTGTGTTATCTTATGTAACTCATGCTTTGACGTTGTGTGAAACGAGTAGTGTTTGATGTAACTTGTGGTTGTTAACCTATCGTTGGGATCCGTGTTTCGTGAGTGAGTTTCCAAATACTGATGTGGGCCATCTTGGTTAGTATAAGAGCCCGATGTTATATGGAGAAGAGTCGCATTACGAAGACACAAATAATAAGACTCAATTTTACTCCGTAAGGAATTATCAGTAAGGATTTTCCTTCCGGGCCGACTTGGACCGAAGGGGGTGCGTACCACACCTCCTTGGCACTTACGAGACAAAGAGAATATTGTATGTTGACTTTTGGGGCGGACCATGATGGAGTGGGGTTGTGTAGAGAATAAAATGATAAGGGTTGGACCCCATTTGTACTTATTTAGTAAGACTTGGTGGAGAATCATCCACACCTCACTCAACCCACTCCACACAAAAGGAATAACCTTTTGGGAGGCCTAAGAGTCAGCCTTAGTACCCCCATTCGAATTTACTTGGCTTCTAAGAGAAGAGAACCGATCAGAACAAAGAAAGAGAGAAAGGAGAGAGCAGTTCGCAGTTTTCGTCACTGTGCGTAGGGTTGATTGTTCAGCCCATATCTTGAGCTTCACTCGTTCAAATCAGGCGTGTGAGGTGTCCAGAGAAAGCTCTTAAAACAAGGATTCTGGAATGGTGTAGATCGCGACGATCGGAGTTGAGGAAGGCTTCCAAATCTGCGTTGGAAAGTACGACCCTGCAGCAGGGTTTCTTCTTCTCTAGGGGTGAGTTGAACCCGAAAACTTCCTCTTCTTTACATAGATCGTATGTAAGGTTTAGGAGGCTATTCTACCTTGTTATTAGGGTAGAATGTATTCTTGAAATGATATATATGTGAGTTTAAGGGTTAGGCACTAACCTTAAATGAACCTTGAATGGTTAGGAAGAGAACTCGCCGGGGAACACCTCTTCGAGAGGGCTGTTTAGTTTCGTGGCAGGAGGGTGGAGCCAACTGCTGGGAGCAGGCTACTGCTCACCCATCCTTAAGCGAGGAGTCGGCTGCCAACCTTTTCTTGGCCGAGGCGTGATCGTTGGAGCGAGAAAGGAAGGCTAAAGCTCATTAAGGTGAGGACCGACATCTAGTTGCTTACAACTTGTAGGTTATGCATGAGATTACCTAAATGTTTAAATCATGTTTTTGTGAATAAATATGCTTGAACATGATATGAATGATAAGTAATGGACTTGATCATGAATTGAAACCATATTGAAGAATATGGAGTCATGTGAGATAGAGGTATGCTAATATGGTAAATTGACCTTTCCAACAAATGTATGAATGTGATGTGTATGTAAATGTATAATTGCATGATGATGCTTGACACATGGGAGGCTGCCACATATCTATTGATATGGAGGAGCTACCATTAATGATAAATGAGTTGTAGGAATAATCTTAATAGTATTGTGATGCTAGATAAGGATTGTCCTAAATGTGTTAGAATCAAACTTAAGGTTTGAGTTTGTTTGTGATGAACTTGAATGAGATTCAAGTGTCAATTGTGAAATCATGGAGTAGGAGATCTATGGTGTGATTGTATGAAGTAGGAGATCTATGGTGTGATTTTATGAAGTAGGAGATCTATGGTGTGATTTTATGAAGTAGGAGATCTATGGTGTGATTTTATGAAGTAGGAGATCTATGATATGATTACATGAAGTAGGAGATCTATGATGCGAGTGCATGATGATGTACTCGAGCCGAACTCTAGAAATGAGAAGTTATATTAGGGTTGGACCCTATGTATGTCGTGACCATTAGTCACGGGGTTGGGAAATGTTTTGTGATAAACATGGGCCTTGAGCCGACTACTTGACTTTATATAAAGTAAGTATATATTTTGAAGGGGTAATTTGGGATTACAGCCTAAACTATATTATCACCCTATTTGAGAGTCTTGTGTGTGAAATACTTGTTGTATATCTATTAGATGCCTGCCACACCAGTACTTTATAGCCGTATAGAGTACTGACCCCTTCGGGGGCGTCCCACCACCATTTCAGGTTGAGGCTTGAGCTTGCTACCTGTGCCCGTTGCTCGGGTGATCATTCGGAGAGAAGACGTGGTTCGTGCTTTCTCCATTCTGTTTGAATAATATTAAAACATGCTCATGGATATTTTACTATAGAGCCTGCGTGCTCATGAATAGCCCTGTGTGGCCCTTTGTTTTAAACAATGTTTCCGCTGCATTATGAATTACTTATTATGTTTGTTTATGGATGTTATATGTGTGAATGATATTCAAGACGCTTGGTATAATACGAATGAGTTGGACTGCGGTTGACTATTTGTATTGTACGGCGGATTGTCGACGTGTCCGGGGAGGTCCGGGGCGTGACAATTTAGTTGGTATCAGAGCCTTAGTCCATAAACTTCATAATGAAGTCTCAAAATTCTCTTTTTTGAAAAGATTTTGAAAACCATGAGCATAAAAGTTTTGTACTTGGAGAGCTTTTGGTACTTGGGTTGCAAGGTCTCTAATTGTTAAGATGGTACCCTTAGCAATTGGTATGGCGGTGACTCGAGCCAAAATGTGTCTTAAGTACCTATCCGTCAATTGACATTTGATACGAGTCTAACGACTCTTTCCAAATTTCTTTCAGAAATGGACCGTGGTGGCAGGATTACTAGGAGGAACCCGACCGGCCGTGTACCAGTGGAGACTGGACAGGGCAGTCGAAGGACCTCTAGGGCATCTAGAGGAGCTGGCCGTGGAGGCCGATCACAGACCGTGAGTGACGGTCATGTCGACACAGAAAGTGAAACCTACTGGTCCTATGAGGACTCGACTTACCAACCGGAAACTGAGCCGGTTGAGACCCCTTACGAAGGGGATGACGATGATGTAAGTGATGAAGAAGGGGAGAATGACTCCCTAGCCAGAATTGAGGCGCTGCTCCAGCAATATCAGCGGGAGCGCGAGGAAAGGAGGGAACGCCGAAGGCGCCGAGGAGGGCGAACTTCGGGAGGGGCTTCAAGAGGAAGAAGCCATGGCGACTCTAGGGCCCACATTGAACCACATGGGGGCCGGGGTGATGGAGGTCCGATCATAAGGATCTCCAAATACCTCAAAGAGGCACGAGACTTGGGGTGCAAACCCTTCAATGGAGCGGGTGACATCTCGGTCGCCGCGGAATGGACCAAGAGGTTGAACGAAGCAGCCCTTGATATGCAACTCACCCCCGAATTCAAGCTAAGGGTGGCGGTAAGATTGCTTGAAGGGATGGCATCCACATGGTGGGACGGAGCCAAGGGAAAGTATGGCAATACCGTGACTTGGGAGAATTTCCGACAGGAGTTCTTTGCCCAGTACTATTCTGATTTTGAGGTGAACGCCAAGAGGAGAGAGTATACCCTCCTGACCCAAGGTGGCAAAATGACGGTGAGGCAACTCGAACACAAATTCAGGGAGCTCGCGGAGTTCATACCGGAGTATGTCTGTGACGAGAACCGGATGGTAAACCACTTCTGGGATGCCTTGGACTTGGAGGTGCGTGAGAGGGCAACACAGTTGCCTAACATGACCTTTAGCCAAGTGGTCGAGCAAGGGTTGAAAGGGGAGAAACAGTGGGAGGAGAGGAAGAAGAGAGACGTCGAGGAGGCGAAAAAGAGGAAGTGGGAGAGTCATGGCTCCCAAGGTTCCAACAAAAAGGGAAATCATGGAGGAGGATCTTTCCGTGCACCGTCGCCACCATCTAGGGGGAACCAGGGCTTGAGCAGGCATGACTCGGGGTCACAAGCCTCGGGGATGCCTCGTTGCTCGAATTGCAAGAAGAGTCACCTCGGAAAATGCCGTGAACCCCCTAGATGCTTCCAATGCGGGAACACCGGGCATTTGAAGGCGCATTGCCCACAATTGGGTGGGCCAAGGTCATCAGGACCAAGTAGCGGGGCTACGGGAACAAGAAACCAAGCCGGGGGTTCCCAAGTAACCAGGGGGCAAGGGGGAGCAAGCGCGAGCAACGCACCATCCGTGAACCAAGGAAGGACCCAGGCTAGGATCTACGCGATGACGGAGGCGGATGCTCAAGCTAACCCGGATTCCGTTGCAGGTATTGCCCCTCGTATAATAGTGTTTTATCCTTAATTAGTCCATAAATTAAGGTTACTAATTGTTAGGATCAATGCACGAAGTTTTGGGGTCGAACCGGGAAGATTTCGGACCATTTCGGGCTGTTTTCACCCAGGCACGATCGTGCCTAAGGCAGGCACGATCGTGTCTCCAAGGCAGTAGCGTCCTGGGCATTTTCCCAAGCCAGGCACGATCGTGCCTACCCCAGGCACGCCGTGCCTGGCACCCAGATTGCCGAATTGCGATTTTTCGCACCGTTTTGCGACGTTAAGACCTTTTCTTGATCCCTAACGTGCGTGTGAACATTGTAACCTTCTATAAATGAGTAGGGAGGGTAGGAAAGATGTCTTACATGGTTCATGAATGTAGGGACACTAAAGATTAATGGGAAGGATGCGCGAATCCTTATCGATACCGGGGCGCAACGTTCATTTGTGAATGAAGCGTTCGCCAAGAGATTGGAAGTGCAATCCGCACCATTGATGCAAACCTTAGTGGTATCAACACCACTAGGGGATGACGTGGAAAGAACTTGTTACTATCTATCTTGTGGAGTGGAAGTTAATGGTCAAACCTTGACGTGTGACTTCGTACCGCTGAACATGATTGAATTCGATGCAATCCTAGGGATGGATTGGCTAGAAAAGAACCATGCTAGGGTAGATTGCTACACGAAGGTTCTTGAACTCGAAGGCAATGATGGGGAGACCCTACGCTTCGAGGGCGATCGAGGGAGATCAAATAGCTGTATCATATCCGCCGTGAGAGCGAGAAGTATGATGAGGAAGGGATGTCATGCGTATCTTGCATATGTGATTGACAAGACCAAAGATGAGACGAATATCAATGACGTAAGGGTGGTTTGTAAGTACCCAGATGTCTTCCCTGATGACCTACCGGGGCTTCCACCCGATAGGGAGATTGAGTTTGTGATCGAGGTTGAGCCCGGCACCAAACCAATCTCTATACCACCATACCGAATGGCACCAGCTGAACTTGATGAGTTAAAAACCCAACTGCAAGAGCTATTGGATACCGGTTTCATTAGACCAAGTTGTTCACCGTGGGGAGCACCAGTCCTCTTTGTGAAGAAGAAGGATGGGACCCTCCGGATGTGTATTGATTACCGGCAGTTGAACAAGGCCACCATCAAGAACAGGTATCCTCTACCTAGGATTGATGACTTGTTCGACCAACTTCGAGGGGCAACGGTATTCTCGAAGATCGACCTAAGGTCGGGGTACCACCAACTGAAGATCAAGGAGAGTGATATACCGAAGAGTGCTTTTCGCACAAGGTATGGTCACTTTGAGTTCTTGGTTATGTCGTTTGGGCTGACAAACGCGCCGGCGGCATTCATGGACTTGATGAACCGATTATTTCATAAATACTTGGATCAGTTCGTGATCGTGTTCATAGACGATATCTTGATTTACTCAAGGAGTGAAGAAGAGCATGAGCGGCACTTGGTTCTGGTTCTTGAAACACTACGAGAGAAGCAACTCTACGCTAAGTTCTCCAAGTGTGAGTTTTGGCTTAAGGAGATTGGCTTTCTCGGGTATGTGGTTTCCGCGTCAGGCATTGCCGTGGACAACAAGAAGATTGAGGCTATCACAGATTGGGAAAGGCCAAAGAACGTGAAGGAGGTCCGCAGTTTCCTTGGGCTAGCGGGCTACTATAGAAAGTTTGTGGAAAAGTTCTCAGTTTTGGCATCGCCATTGACGAAGCTCACTCGAAAAGGGGCTAAGTTTGTATGGGATGACCGATGTGAGAAAGGTTTCCTTGAATTGAAGAAGAGGTTGACTGAGGCACCGGTACTTGCACTACCAAAGCAAGGTATGGGGTACGATGTCTATAGTGACGCGAGCATCCAGGGGCTCGGTTGCGTGTTGATGCAGTCGGGGAGGGTGATTGCCTATGCTTCACGACAGTTGAAGAAACACGAGGTGAATTATCCTACTCATGACTTAGAGTTGGGGGCCGTGGTGTTTGCACTTAAAATATGGCGACACTATCTCTACGGAGAGACGTGTCATATATACACGGACCACAAAAGTTTGAAGTATGTGTTTACCCAGAAGGAGCTAAACATGAGGCAACGACGATGGATGGAGTTGATAAAGGACTACCATCTTGTGATTGAGTATCACCCGGGCAAGGCGAATGTTGTGGCCGACGCCCTTAGTCGGAAGAGTTCGTCTGGGGCATTGCTTGCCAACTTGAGAGCATTGAGGGCTCGATTGGAAGTGTCTACTGATAGCGCCTTGGTGGCGAGGTTTGAGGTGAGGCCTACCTTACTTGATGAGATCAAGAAGGGGCAGAACCTTGATGATGAGCTCAAGAAGGTCCGAGAACGTATGTTAGCGGGACCGGTGGAGGATTTCCGTGAGAGGGACGATGGTCTCTTGTTATTTCGTGACCGAGTGTGCGTACCATCGAATGATGAGCTCCGAAAGTCCATCCTTGAGGAGGCTCATTCATCAGCGTATGCTATGCACCCGGGAGGCACGAAGATGTACCGAGACTTGAAGGAGAGCTACTGGTGGTCAGGTATGAAGAGGGAGATAGCCGAGTACATCAGTCGATGCCTTACTTGTCAGCAGGTCAAAGCAGAACATCAGCATCCATCGGGCTTGTTACAGCCACTTTCCATTCCTGAGTGGAAGTGGGAGCATGTGACTATGGACTTCATGGTAGGCTTACCACGGACGGTTCGGAACTACGACGCAGTTTGGGTAGTGGTTGATAGGCTCACAAAGAGTGCACACTTCTTGCCTATCAACACCACTTATCCACTTGAGAGGTTAGCCAAGTTGTATACGGATGAGATCGTGAGGCTTCATGGGGTTCCAGTGACTATTGTGTCCGATAGAGACCCACGATTCACATCGCGCTTTTGGCCAAAATTCCAAGAGTCTATGGGAACGAGGTTGAAGTTCAGTACTGCTTTCCATCCACAGACAGATGGGCAGTCTGAAAGAGTTATTCAGATCTTAGAGGATATGCTGAGGGCTTGTGCATTGGAGTTCCAAGGCAGTTGGGACAACCACTTAGCGCTTGTGGAATTTGCCTATAACAACAGTTATCAGGCGAGTATCGGCATGCCTCCATACGAGGCATTGTATGGCAGGAGATGTCGTACACCGTTATGTTGGGACGAGGTTGGCATGGCCAAACTCGAGGGTACTGAATTGGTGGAGATCACCAAGTCAAAGGTGAAGTTGATTCGAGAGAGGCTTAAAACGGCACAAGACAGACAGAAGAGCTACGCCGATAAACGTCGGAGAACCTTAGAGTTTAAAGTTGATGACGAGGTGTTTCTTAAAGTTTCTCCTTGGAAAGGGATCATCCGGTTCCACAGCCGAGGGAAGCTTAACCCACGCTACATAGGGCCATTCAGAATTCTAGAGAGAATTGGGGCCGTGGTGTATCGTCTACAGTTGACTCCCGAGTTGGAGAAGATTCATAATGTGTTTCACGTATCCATGCTTAAGAAGTATGTGCATGATCCTTCTCATGTGTTGGAGAAGCCGCCCGTAGAGGTGCGTGAAGACTTGAACTATGCCGTGCAACCGGTAAGAGTTATTGACAGAAAAGTGAAGAAACTGAGGAGTAAAGAGGTTCCAATGGTTAAAGTCCTTTGGAAGAGTGACCGGGTCGAAGAAGAGACTTGGGAAACGGAGGCTTTGATGAGGAAGCAGTATGCATTCCTATTCGAGTAGCGTTGTGAATTTCGGGGACGAAATTCCTGTTAAGGGGGGGTGAACTTGTGACACCGCACCCGTGTGTACCCGAATTTACTATTTGAAAGTTTCGTAATTGATGTTTTGAACTTGTTATTACCAGCTGTGTGTAACACGTGTGTTATCTTATGTAACTCATGCTTTGACGTTGTGTGAAACGAGTAGTGTTTGATGTAACTTGTGGTTGTTAACCTATCGTTGGGATCCGTGTTTCGTGAGTGAGTTTCCAAATACTGATGTGGGCCATCTTGGTTAGTATAAGAGCCCGATGTTATATGGAGAAGAGTCGCATTACGAAGACACAAATAATAAGACTCAATTTTACTCTGTAAGGAATTATCAGTAAGGATTTTCCTTCCGGGCCGACTTGGACCGAAGGGGGTGCGTACCACACCTCCTTGGCACTTATGAGACAAAGAGAATATTGTATGTTGACTTTTGGGGCGGACCATGATGGAGTGGGGTTGTGTAGAGAATAAAATGATAAGGGTTGGACCCCATTTGTACTTATTTAGTAAGACTTGGTGGAGAATTATCCACACCTCACTCAACCCACTCCACACAAAAGGAATAACCTTTTGGGAGGCCTAAGAGTCAGCCTTAGTACCCCCCATTCGAATTTACTTGGCTTCTAAGAGAAGAGAACCGATCAGAACAAAGAAAGAGAGAAAGGAGAGAGCAGTTCGCAGTTTTCGTCACTGTGCGTAGGGTTGATTGTTCAGCCCATATCTTGAGCTTCACTAGTTCAAATCAGGCGTGTGAGGTGTCCAGAGAAAGCTCTTAAAACAAGGATTCTGGAATGGTGTAGATCGCGACGATCGGAGTTGAGGAAGGCTTCCAAATCTGCGTTGGAAAGTACGACCCTGCAGCAGGGTTTCTTCTTCTCTAGGGGTGAGTTGAACCCGAAAACTTCCTCTTCTTTACATAGATCGTATGTAAGGTTTAGGAGGCTATTCTACCTTGTTATTAGGGTAGAATGTATTCTTGAAATGATATATATGTGAGTTTAAGGGTTAGGCACTAACCTTAAATGAACCTTGAATGGTTAGGAAGAGAACTCGCCGGGGAACACCTCTTCGAGAGGGCTGTTTAGTTTCGTGGCAGGAGGGTGGAGCCAACTGCTGGGAGCAGGCTACTGCTCACCCATCCTTAAGCGAGGAGTCGGCTGCCAACCTTTTCTTGGCCGAGGCGTGATCGTTGGAGCGAGAAAGGAAGGCTAAAGCTCATTAAGGTGAGGACCGACATCTAGTTGCTTACAACTTGTAGGTTATGCATGAGATTACCTAAATGTTTAAATCATGTTTTTGTGAATAAATATGCTTGAACATGATATGAATGATAAGTAATGGACTTGATCATGAATTGAAACCATATTGAAGAATATGGAGTCATGTGAGATAGAGGTATGCTAATATGGTAAATTGACCTTTCCAACAAATGTATGAATGTGATGTGTATGTAAATGTATAATTGCATGATGATGCTTGACACATGGGAGGCTGCCACATATCTATTGATATGGAGGAGCTACCATTAATGATAAATGAGTTGTAGGAATAATCTTAATAGTATTGTGATGCTAGATAAGGATTGTCCTAAATGTGTTAGAATCAAACTTAAGGTTTGAGTTTGTTTGTGATGAACTTGAATGAGATTCAAGTGTCAATTGTGAAATCATGGAGTAGGAGATCTATGGTGTGATTGTATGAAGTAGGAGATCTATGGTGTGATTTTATGAAGTAGGAGATCTATGGTGTGATTTTATGAAGTAGGAGATCTATGGTGTGATTTTATGAAGTAGGAGATCTATGATATGATTACATGAAGTAGGAGATCTATGATGCGAGTGCATGATGATGTACTCGAGCCGAACTCTAGAAATGAGAAGTTATATTAGGGTTGGACCCTATGTATGTCGTGACCATTAGTCACGGGGTTGGGAAATGTTTTGTGATAAACATGGGCCTTGAGCCGACTACTTGACTTTATATAAAGTAAGTATATATTTTGAAGGGGTAATTTGGGATTACAGCCTAAACTATATTATCACCCTATTTGAGAGTCTTGTGTGTGAAATACTTGTTGTATATCTATTAGATGCCTGCCACACCAGTACTTTATAGCCGTATAGAGTACTGACCCCTTCGGGGGCGTCCCACCACCATTTCAGGTTGAGGCTTGAGCTTGCTACCTGTGCCCGTTGCTCGGGTGATCATTCGGAGAGAAGACGTGGTTCGTGCTTTCTCCATTCTGTTTGAATAATATTAAAACATGCTCATGGATATTTTACTATAGAGCCTGCGTGCTCATGAATAGCCCTGTGTGGCCCTTTGTTTTAAACAATGTTTCCGCTGCATTATGAATTACTTATTATGTTTGTTTATGGATGTTATATGTGTGAATGATATTCAAGACGCTTGGTATAATACGAATGAGTTGGACTGCGGTTGACTATTTGTATTGTACGGCGGATTGTCGACGTGTCCGGGGAGGTCCGGGGCGTGACAAGATGGTCCTCCGTCGGCCAGATGGTCCTCTATCGGCCAAATGGTCGTCCATCGGCCAAACACCTATCAATTCATAATATGGTCCAGCAGAACTTGATCCTCTGTCGGCCAGGCACTCCTTCGGCCTAGTCCTCTGTTGGCCAAAAAGTCCCCAACAGAATAGATTTCATACATAGTCAAATAAATCATGTATTCAGCCCATTAGTGACCTTATTTTGTAATGAGCCTCCCAAACCCAAGACTTGGGAGACCAAATTCACATTTTTCCCTTATAAATAGCCCCCTAGGGGTAGTTATAGAGGGTTGAGAAATATTAATTGCTCACTTTCTCTCTCTAGCTCTCACTTCTCTCTAAGATTAATACTCTATCAAAATTAGTACCATAATTTTACATAAATATCTCAATTGACAATATTACTCAATTTTTTCAACTAAAAATCATACGTGGCTACCAGAATTGTATGCATAAAGTCTCTTTCACCTTACTTTTGTCCATGTCGTCAGGGGCAGAGCCAGAGCATTGGACTCGTGCAAAGAATATTTTTGAAAACAAAATTCATATGAAAATTTGTACACTAAAAATATACACATTGTTTTAAATTTTTGGTGGATCGGGGCCTAGATTATTCCCACGGACCTTGCAACGCCCCTGCATGTAATCGCTACACGGTGGATACCACACATGAAATTTTAATCGTCATGTAGGAATTTTGACCGCAAATTAAAATAATATTTTCAATTGAAACATTTACTTCATTTGCACTTAATCAAAATACAACAATATCACTAGTTAAAGTATCATATGCATTTGACCGGATCTTTCCATTTACTTCAAGACTACGACGGAAAAAAAGAAACTGAGAATTGTGAAATTTGTGTCAAACAACCTGCGGAAAACTATTAGCTTTATCGACTTTTTCCGCGTGAGGAGCTACATGTTCTTGAGCAAACTGAGCAACACTTTCTTTGAACTGAAATCATCAGAAAAGAAATAAGCAATTATACAAGCTTAGCTTCCATTGGAGCAAAGCTATAATAATCAGCAAGAAATTGGGTATAGGAGAAGTAGATGCAGAAATGACCTGTATCTGTGTATCATCAAAGAGCAGAGTAGAGAAAAGAGCTTGTTGCTGATGCCGGGTCCGATTTTTAATTAAGGAAGAGGCGAAGGACTTGGCAGCGAATAACTTGTGCATTTTCTTACAGAGAAATGATGATCAATATATTGACTGTTCTTAAGTGTGGAAGTTCAGACTTGGAGGATATGTAGAGAAGATGGGCAAAATTTTACAGGGCACGTTGCATGCCAAGGAGTTGGGATGCTATAAGCCACTTGAGGAGTTTTCAATATAATACGGAGTATCTGCATAGGAATGATAAACAACAAAACAAAAACATTATCCTAGTGCGGAATGATATTTTGTCTAGATCCATATTATTTGATCAATATTTTTGCACAACTATGATAAGTATTGTTGTGTTTGTGTTTGGTTATATCAGGGCGTAGTCAGGAGTAAGTGTTAGGCTGGGCCGGTACAAAGAATTTTTACAGATAAATTACACATAAATTTTTACATTATAAATATAAGCAAATTTAAAATTTGGATTGGGTCGTGGCCCGGTTGGCCACCCCTCCACCTCCGCCCCCGGTTATATACATACACGCATTAACATGCATGAATGATAGTATGGTCACATCTAATTACTTAACTTCATAATGTAATAAATACTTTATATATGTCTCGAATTGAAATGCAATTTACCATTTTTAAGGTTGATTAACCATAAAGTAAAATCATTCTGTGAAGAGTCAAATGAGTTTTAATAATCAAAATTTAAATATTAATTAGCTATATTGAAAGTTTTACAAAATCGCAAAAAAACAAATCAAAATATAATAAAAATTGATATGTTAAATAATTTGGAACTGCGTTAACCAAGAAAAATGTAATTTGCAAACCATTTTGGGATGGAGGGAGTGCTAAATAAGAATAAAATTTAAGAATATGTAAAAAGTTTTTCTCTTAATGAACAAGTAGCTCTCCTCATATCCGTGTAGTTAAAGTTAAATCTATATATCCGTAACTTTAAAAATAAATAAATTAAAAAGCAAAAAAATGTTCGACGAATCAAGACGTCCTAGCTAGGCGGCTGACACCAGTGGAAAAACAATAATTTGCAGCACATAATAAGTGGCGGTTTTATAAAAACAACCACAAATTTGAGCCAGAAAAAAAATCGTCCACGCGTGGCGGTTTATGTATAATACTCCCTCCGTAACAAAAAAATCTTCTCACTTTCCTTTTTCTTCTGTAACAAAGAAATCTTTCCATTTCTAAATTTTCTCATCATACCTTCAATAATATTGAAAATAATACACTGCTATAACTAATTTTTTGAATTTGTCCTTCATTCCATCACACAATTCCACCATTTTCTCATCATACCCTCAATAATTTATATCATCTTTCACTGTTCTTAATATACATACTTTTGAAACGGAAAGTTTTTTACGCAACGGAGGGAGTTGTATGTTTGAGTAGGCTATTTTCACTCCAAAATTATTAATTTTGTGCAGTCCAACCTGCCCAAAAAATACACGGAGTCACCAAACTAATGCGTTATGTCTAAACCGAGTTTCGTAAGTGCTTCGGCACTGCAGTTCGGCCATAAGCCAATGACCATTGTTTTACACTTACAAAATTACTGTTTTTAACATTTTGCTTTATTGATTACGTGACCAGTTTTTTAAAAGGGCGTTGCTAGGCGCACCCTTGATATTACTTTAGGTCTATGTTTGGTACAATTAGCTGAAAAGATCTTTTTGTGAGCTTTTTAGTAACTGTTAGCTTTTAATGACTGAAAAGATCTTAAAAGTAAAAAGTGGTAGCTGTTTGGTAAAAAGCTGACTGTTTGATTTAGTTCTGTTTGGCATACAAGCTGTTAGGATTTTTTAAAGCTAAAAGTCACAGACTTTTCTCAGATGCTACTACCTGTAGCATCTCAAAAAAGAGCATTTATTTTTTGAAAAGCTCTTAAAAATTGGCGTGCCAAACAAACAACTAACAACTTTTAGAGACTTTTTAAATAGTACAAAAGCCAAAAGCTATAGACTTATGTCAGCCAAACATAGTCTATGTAACCACGCTGTGATTATTTTGACGTTTTCATTTACGGAGTTTTCAATTAAAATCGTTTAGTTTAATACGCATATAAGTAAACACGACACTTTGATTTTCAATTACAATTGACATCTCATACAATTTCTTGTTATGTGGCAATTTTTATTATTATAAAATATACATAGTTTTTATAAAAAGATATCAAATTAAAAAGATATCCAATCAAATTACTTTTTAGGATTTTTCTTATATGACATTAATATTACATATGTAAGTTCTGAGAAAAATCAGTTTAAATCAGTTTAGTGTGACTTGGTAAACGACTGCCAAATTTATAAATTAGGGAAAACTACAGTAAACGTACTTGTGGTTTGGGGTGTTTTCAATTTGGGGCATGAGATTCATTTCTTGACAACCACGGGCGCGTGATTCCACTCCGTTATTGTTGGTCCCGATTAAATGGTAATCAGTCTAGGGGGGGGGGTGAATAGACTGATTGGTTTTTCAAATTTTTCTCTAAGTCCAAACTGACTTATCAGAGAGGGTCTTACTCTGGTAACAGAGGAAGGCTGGTTCTGATATCAGAACTGGCCTTGGCAGCGGATTCTGATCTGTCCGGGTAGCCTCAGAAAAATACTAAGGCAAATGCCTTTCTGATAACTCTGAAAACAAGATCTGCTGAACACAGATTCCAAGTCTTAGAGTTAATCAGTTAATATCCTAAGTGCAGAAATATAAATTGCAGTAAAGTAAATGACACCGGATATTTTATAGTGGTTCAAGGAACAACTCGTTCCTCTAGTCCACTGTTCCACTAGCTTTGAAGTAGATCAGTTACAAAGCTAATTCCTAGCACTTAAGAAGCACTCCTCGTCTTCTTCAAGCCTAGATGCCACCCAGGATGCAATTCCACGTCCTGATGGCTGATCCTTTCACTCAGCTTCCCGGAAGTATCACCACTTCACTACTGCAGTTACTTGGACGCCCTTCTTTTCAGAAGATCCTTTGAAAAACAGAGTTTTTCCTCCAACTTGCTTCGTTACAAATGATGTTTGATGAAGTTCTTGAAGAGTTGAAGAACAGGATGAACTTTGCTTGTTTGTTGGGGATGAGAGATTTGGAGTTTGAATCTTCCCAACGTAAGCTTGTCTTGTTGAAGGTTGTTGAGTTTGAATCTCAAGAGAGCTTGAATGATGATGTGTAAGAGTTGTAGCAAAGTCGTTTTTCAGTTCTTCGGTATGTAGCTTATATACGGAGGTTGTCTGCCCGTTGGAGGAGGAGACAACTGCTTTAAATGCGCGTACAGTTGACTTGACCGCCGTTTTTGGAAGGTTTCTATTTTTATAATATATCTTCCCGGATTCCTTGGTCAATCATTTGCAATCAATCCTTCAGCGTATCAGGCTCATTTAATGTGCATTAAATGCTTTCCTTTCATGCACAGTCTTCTAGCCGTTGGATGTTTTTACTCGTTGGATTCATAGCTGTTGGATGTTGCTTGAAATCTTCTAAGTGTTCGTCGAGCTCTGATCAGGTTCTTCTGATATGTTGGATTCTGATGGCTATCTGATGAGTTGAGTTCTGATGGTCTTCTGATCTCTGACTGAACTCTGACTCTGATAGGTCCGCTGATGAGTACTTCTGATCTGTAGTTCTCATCGGCTATCAGATGTCCAGGTTTATCAGCAACTCTCATGATGCAACTCTGATGGACTTCTGGTAAGAGAACTCTGATGGAGCAGTTCTCATAGAGCAAGTCTGGTCGAGCAGTT